CGTCCTTTCACGCCGCATGCGTGCATTCTCCATCCACGTTTATTGAGGTTAGTTCGTGTTTAGGTTCTCGCTGATTTTTAAGCGAAGTGATCTATTTACTGATGTGTGACTCCTGACACCTGATCCAATAACGCTTGTGCCGTATCTAATTTATGACATGGTATGCATGTCTTTAGAGGTTCCAAAACATTATCATAAAAGTGATCAGACGGAAGCAGCATATAGAGCCACAGGTGCTCGACGTTTGCTTGCAATCTCCAGCTGTGTGCAATGGATCACACGCAATCTGCAAGAAGCGATCACCACGTCGAAGTTGTAGATTTCGATACAGACGCACAGTTGGCGACAACAGGTGACACAACACCAGCACAGGGATCATGAAGGTGGCCATGGGTGACAGCGATACGCATGAGGATTTCGAATCAAGGTCTACACCACTTCCGTGCCCGCGAAGGCTGAACAGTCATCATTTTAAATTGAACGAGAATGTCGTGTATGGGCGTAAAAGATGACACGTTGGAAAGGGCACTCCATGGCCCGTCCCGACATGAGCACCTCCTGTTACGAGCGAGGCCGTGGGCCGAGGGAGTCATACTTGAACTTTTCAGCCATTGAAGACGTTCAGCTTCGGCGTCTCCGCCGTCACGCTCTTTGCCATCATCAATAAATGCAACCTCATACAGGGGCGCCGGTATTGGAGATCATCAAATTAGCGAATTCCTCGGGGCGCCTCGCAAGGAAGCATTTAAATTGCCAGGCAGCCACAGAATGGCTTAACGTTAACAGATGTCCACGTGCATACGAATCCGAATCCGGGTACGAATCAACTGGGCCATTAATGCTAGAATATCACGGGCACACATACGGGGCAGTTATACTCGAGCCAAAATGTGACAAGTTGAGTGTGGCTGCTGCCGTGGAGGAACGAACGCACGAAAAAATGAACAAAACAATGTTTTATCAGGTGAAATTAGGATCGGGTCAAAAAGGACACCACTTATTGTCTCACGACAAAGTGGACAGAGTCATCACTGGTGCATACGGCAGCGTAAACACGCATCAGCTTGGAACTCTTCGTGGTTGACAATATCACAAATACCTACATCGACTATCAGCTATGCGAGGGGGTAAATAGAGCCCATATGAATGTGGCCCTTTATCATCACACGATTTCGTCGATATCCTTAGGATGAATAACCGAGACGGAACACTCAGCTTTCTTGACGTTGAGAAGTTACTGAACATTGGGCGCGTAGAAAACACGACAGAAATTGTCGCGCAGCAGATCACGCGGTTGTCAACCACGAATCCGCCCGTTTCTTGCCGTTTATGGCTTGATGTCGGACCACGGAAGCAGGACAGAAGCCAAATGCACGGTGTTCGAGCTTATTTCGTCAATAAGTCACATGCGGTAGAAACACTGTCCTACCCATAGTTAAACCGATACTTCATCGTGAAACGAAGAGCATTGCCATTTCCGAAACCAGTGTCGAATACGGTTCGCTATGGACTGGATGGGAGCCATGAAATTAAAGTGGGAAACATGAATTCGTTCATCATGGAAAACACAGAGGCATTTATCTCAGTTCATTGTGGACACTACCACGCACAGCAACTCATGCTTCTTGCATTAATCTGATTACAGACGCCCTAGTCGCAACTTATTTCAAATGTATCAATTTCGTTGACCGAGATTACAGGTCTGGTCAGACTTCTCGACAGTACATTTTCAAAAACGTAATAGCTTCCGAGCTTATCTCATATATCTGTGAAATCAGCGCAGAGGGTTGCCCCAGTGAATCTCTGCCACTTAAACTCTCATGAACGGCAGGATTTCTAAGAAATTGATCAAGCCATTTATTATGTGTGCTCAAAAGCTCGTTACTCTGGTAGCTCAGACTTTGAATAGATTAACATGATGATAATTGATAATCCACATGTGTTATGACCTCTCTCCTCCCGCATCTCATGCAGAATGACCACGTTTATCTTGCTTTTGGGGTGTCTAATTTGTAACCATGAAAGGAGGCCCGCGTCCACGTTTGTTATACGAAACCTTAGGAACGGAAACACATTTCTGAAGCGTTGCAAAAAGCAATAGTGGACCTGAACTAATACTAACGGAAGCGACGATCAGAGGGAGGCATAAACTCGTGAAAGGAATCACGAAAACCTGAAAATTTATGTACCGTGCTGCATCACTCATCCTCATCTGTAACGGAAAGGTGTGTCACGCTCCGAGAAAACGCCGTGTTTTGGGTATATGAGGGCAGATTAGACTGTCTTCCACTCTTAAGCCACAAGCTTGTTTTGCAACACTATGACACTGGGATAGGCCTTTTTCAGTAGAAGAAATGTCGTGTAGAGCTATTTTCGTTGTGAGGTCCGTTCATCAAAATATTTGCAGCAGCAATAATGTATGGACACCATGGTGTGTGCATTTCTAGTCTGATTCCGCTGTCCAAGAGCTCCCATGCGTTCGCTTCCTCCGGGATTTTGGTGAGCCCTAACCTATGAGTGGAAGAACTGAGGATAGCATTCATGAAGCATGGTTTGTATCGTACAGTGCAAACGTTGGGTACGCGTATTGGTAGTAGACGCATTATTGTTTACAACTTAAGACCACATAGGTTTTCCGCAATAGACGCAATGATAACTATATGCTTTTGAAATGCAAGCTTTTTTATATGTTAAGCTTTGTCGTGCAGGACTAGTGTAGCCTATCACTCTTGGCGGTAGAATAAATGTCGCGTTTAACAATGACTTACAAGTTGTACAGTAGGACTAATGACGAGCATAAATTTTTGAAGCATAAGTTTTGTCGCGTAGCAATTATTTCATGCATAAGTATTGCCAGTAGAAGTAATGCCGCGCATATTACAAATATGCAGAAGTTTTTGCGGTAAGAATAATGCCATCTGTCAGTAGGAGCTCTCTCATTAGCACTAATACTGTGACACCCGATGCGCTAGAGCAAGCATTCGAAATCCTAGGATAGTGATAGCCCTAAAACCTTGTTGACCTTGACATTGACTGGCCCTAAACAATACCACTAACACGCATAAGACGCAGTGGTTCATGCGATCACGAGTCTAATGATGATATATATATATATATATATATATATATATATATATATATATATATATAAAGAGTGACAGCCCTTAGTGCAAGATGCAGATTTTGCGTGATCGCTTTTGCACATCCCTCACGGTCAGCCTGTCGCATCGGGTCAAACCACTTCTTTTGTAGTTTCCACGTAGCTATGAAAAATTCCTTAGAACACAACTGATGTAAGTCAACGCGTGACAACATGAACTTCCAAAAGGTGACTTAGGCCACCGAGGTCCTTTCCGGACTCCCATGTCTTTGAACTTGGAAAATTTTAAGGGGATTGTTCCACATTTATATGGGATTTTGCACTGAAACAGCCATCTTGAGGACCTTTCGGTGCTATTTACAATCTTGCCCTTCTTAAGACCTAAGCCCCTCTAGTTTCTGAGCTATGCACCCACGAAAATGGAGAAAGATACATCAGAGAGAGTACCTTCGAAGTAACTTTGGCATTTATGACGTCATAATAACATCATTTAAATCATGCCATTCCATAGGCCATTCGGCAGTCAGGAAACAAAAATATTATTATGGAGGCATTCTTATCTGGCGTAAGTAAGCGCAATTTTCGAACAAAACAACCATCAAATGGTCCTCAATCAATGTTGTGTAAGGTGTTGTGTCGAGACTTGCTTAATCATACCATGACGTATTGAGGAGCATACTTATTAAACAGAAAATTGTGCTGTGCAGAGCAGTCTTCTAGACTTAAAGTATGCTAATACTTATAAGTGAGCTGGTTTCATCATGTCTGACACCTGCTTTAATATCTTGAAATGTGAAACAATCCCTTTATGGTTACCAGATTCAGTTAGCATAGTGTATTTGTTGGCGGTGAAAGACATTCAAACAGCACATTCTGTGGTTTTAAATTTAACATTACTTGACCTTGACATTGACTGGCCCTAACAATACCACTAACACGCATGAGACGTTGTGGTTTATGCGATAACGAGTCTGATGATATACATATATATATATATATATATATATATATATATATATATATATATATATATAGCAACCATTGAGATATGTGATAAGAATGCTCGAGCTTGAAAGCGGTGGTTATGACCACGAGTGGACAAGTTTGGCATTAATTGCAGCTTTTGCCGCGCGTCAAAAACCTCAGGCGCTGCAAGACAAAACAAGCCCCGGTCCTGTGCAGACTACCAATACATTGTTGCGATTTTATGGTTTTGTGATTTGTGTGTTGTGATTTGTGAGATTTTCCCTCTTGCCCACTGCCGCACGTAAGACAGTTCCTATATGCAGGTATGCTCGCTGTGGTCTCTGGGCTGACCGAACTAGAATGTATTTTAATATAGAGCCACAGGTCCAAGCTACCCTAAGTCCGTTCAAACCCCTCGATTGTACAGCGGCTTTTACCTGTTTGTACAGTCTTGGCTTAACACCCTGGTTCATTTGTCAACAGAAGTTTTACATAGCCAACATTTGCTTGCTTCACCACTTCACGATCTCTTTACTGCCTGATATGCAGAGGCATCGAGGACGTGCGGTACAAGCGGCCTGCCACACTCGGTGAGCCGGGTACATGATCTCCCACGAGAGGAGAGAGGCTTAAGGTAAGCTACACTCACACGACTGGATATTAAACGCTTCAAAATCGCAGGAGGGAAAAATCTGACTTTGCCTCTTCCCCGTTAGAAAATTAAAATTCTGGCCCCACGATTGCGTTTGTTTTCAGCCTGTCCGTAATTTATGACATTTCCGATATTTTCTTTTGGCTGCGCACCAATTGCTCACGCCATAACTTCGGGAGCGTCTCCAGTCCCATGCTGGCGCGCTCCCCAAGGCTCAGCGGGTGGCCGTGACGTCACTGCTGGGTAGAGTTAATGACCCTGGGACGGCCGCCGGCGGTGGACGCTCGTATAAAAGCCAGTGTCGTGCCTCGCCATGGCAGGAACCGGCACACGGCACCGCAGACCCAGGTGAGGCGAGACTCAGCCCAGCCGCTCATTGGCGAACTATGCTGCTTGATGCACACAAACGGTGGCTTTTTTAATTTTTGTAATAGGTATCGGCGGCGTGGCGTGGCTGTTACATAGACATGGGCGAAGCAACCGAACGGGGAGGAAAGTAAAATGTTAATGTTCGGACTGAGCGCATTGGAAAAATAATGTTACAGCTAAATACATTTTTTTGCATTTACTTCTCATGGATCTCGTACATGTTCGTTCAGTGGATTTTCGTTCTACGCTACCATATGCAAATTTTAAGCTTTTTCGTGGGCCCCATCAGACGCCAGTACACGACAATAAAACTTTTTATGACGACGAACTGTTGCGGTAGGCGCAATATAAGAGATATGACGGCTTCATCCGAACATAGTACAGTATCACAGCACTGCGCGTCGTCATCTTTTTTGTGTGCATTCTTTCAGAAAGATGAAGCTTCAACTTCTGTTGGTGGCGGCCTGCCTGTGTGCGGTCTCGGATGCTTGGATTCCGAAGAAACTCCTCAAGAAGTATGCCATGAAAAAGGTGAGCCATATGTATTCATTCAAACGTATACGTAGAGAGTAGCTCGTACATCAATGTTTTGACTAGGAAGCTACACCCACAACTACAACACAAGTGTACCTGGACCGTCTTTGCGCACTGTAAACACATTCCTCGGTTCATAGTAAGGTGCCACTTTGCTACCCAGGAGCTGAAATTTCACCTTATACATCCCACATCATGGTCTTACACCCCCCTTGTCACGGGACGTTTCCACGCTGATATCGGTAGCACCTTTCTGTGAATTTGGCACCTAGCCTTCCCATCTTCGTCACATACCAGCCTGAGCGCTGCATGATGGATCCCAAACTGTCGCCGAGGTTACCCCAGCCCTACCTGGGGTCTCGGAGTCTGACCTGAGACCGGCGCCGGCAGATCATGGGGAGCTGCTTCGGTGACCAGCTGATCAGCGACATCAAGCAGGAGGTCAAGGCCGCGTGTGACAAGTGCCACGGTGAAGCTGGACCCGAGCTGCCGCAGCTGCGCAGCCAGCTGGCCTCCGTGTTCAGCACGGCGGAGACGGCCCGGTCCAGCAACTACCAGCATGCCGTGCAGTACGTGCCCGTGCCGGCCGCCTACCAGTTCCAGCCGGTAAGTTGTGCTTGTGCCCAAAAGTTGGCGCCGTTGGACGGTAGATGACACTGTAGCTCGGCAACCAGATGGCAGCGTTGTCGCTTTTTTGACGGCGCGTGGTTTGTTACTGTCGTTTAATCTTGGTCAAGTCTCGTGGGGCTATAATATTTGTGCGTGAGCTATCAAAGAATATTTACCGTACTTGACCATATCTCATTTAAGAGTTGGAAGCCCTCATTGTTGGGACACGCAGCTCAAAATGCCTGACACAAATGGCACAGAGAACATTGCGTGAGCCAAAATCATGGTCATTTGTGACGGGCAGGTGACGTACCAGTACCAGCGCCGCTGGAAGAGAAGCCACCACGGATCCATCACGCCGGAGAAACTGGAGGCGATGCGCGTCAAGGCGTCCTCCATGATCGGCAACATCACCTGCGTCATGAGAGAGATGAAGATGGTAAGCAGGGTGAACAGCTTGTGCCGACACAGATCTGTAGAGATGTGAAAGCAAATTATCCATGTTTCCGAGTGAAAAAACTGCAGCAGTTTTGATATCATTCGATTGAGACATTCCGCTGGAAGCAGTAACTAATGGGACAAAATAGCTCATCTGTGTGGGTACTTGATTTATGTGTGGGTACTCAGTTGCAGCGCGAGGCGCTCAGGGCTCACTTCTGGCTGACGGAGGACCCCTGGGTGCTGATGCGATCATTGCAGCCGCTGGCTCTCTACAAAGGGTTGAGCAAACGTCTTCTGCCAAGCCATTGTTACTAAACAAAATGTGAACGATACCCAAATCACTGCGTGGCAACTAACGGCGCCCATTTGTACTTGTCGCGCAGCTGGACAGCAACAACCAGGTGGACTTCGCCTCCATCAAGAAGCGCATCATGGAGCTGCCGCTGCCCAAGGAGCTGGTGGACGATATGTGCGAGGGTATGGATCACTGCCGCGACTTCGCCTCTTGCATTCCCAGCCAGGTCTTTGAGAAGTCTCCCATCATGGCCGGCTTCGGCAAGCAGATGGCGTTCTTCAAGTGCTTCAAGGTGGGTGACAAGACTTGATGGTATGCTTGAACCGAAAGGTGTTTGGCAGCAATTGTGTGCTAAAATTCCTCGTCTTGAGCCTTTTACTTGGTTTTTGCCATTTCGGAACGTAACGTAGGCATAAAATAAAGAAAGCCAAAAGCACGACACATTGCTACGGTCATTCGTTTTTTCTTGGTACCCATTGGCTTACTTCGTGTGCAACGTTTAAAGCCAGAACTAAACCGTACGCAGTGTGCACACATCGGCATGATAAATATCCCCAGCCGACGATGTCTACAACTTAAGGATGCTTCATGTTTGCTGTCACGCATTAGCCAGCCTGACAGTTCTTGGCATCGGTGGGTTACAGATGGCGAAGGTCGAGTCGTGCATGAAGCAGGACTTCCGCGAGGACTACTACCCGATGCTTCTGCGCAGCGGACTGGACTTGGGCGAAGACGAGAGCTTCCAGACCATCGTCACCTCCATGATGCTGGAGGAGGCCGGAGACATGTGAACGCCTCCAGGATAGCGGGCTGGGCCCAGCTCGGGGTGCACAAGAGCTGCGATGCGTACCGCCGGGCGCGGATGCACACATTGAATGTCTCTGGCTGTTCTGTGGCATTTGTGTTGGTCCTCCGGAATCATTTTCCGGACGGATTTGTCAGTTCGGTCATTTTCTGGTGTGATCTAGACGCATACAGCTGTTGGAATCTACATGCAGTTTTACCCGGCAGTTGAGCAAGACTTCGTCGTGAATGGTTACGCCCAAGACGTTGAAAATGGTAGCAGTACTGCACTCGGTGCTCCATTTCCACGCGTTAAAGATAGCTCATTGGTCATGAGATTGCTTCCTTAAAGGGAGTGTTTCACATTTACATTGAGTTTTGAACTGGAAGTGAAATAAGTTGAGATTGGATGCGGCGCACCCCGTAAACCTACGCTCTCCCGCCTACGAATGGCAATTTTTGGCGCAGGAACTGTGCTGGTTATGGCGGAAAATTGCAAGCACATCATTTTAGGCAGCATCGGACAAAATGAACGCTGGTACCTGTGCCAGCACCCGCCAAATCTTGCGGGCACCCACGCATATATATTACTGTTGGTACGTTGTCGGTGCATTGCCAAACGGAAGCATTGTCTTTAGGGTTTTCAACACACAAAAAGCAAAAAGACGTGCAGTCCGTTAACGCGGTTTCATTTCTTCCCGGCTACTCCCACACAGATTGACTATGAACAAACCTCGTCAGTGGCGTCATGGGTCAGCACGTCCGACTCCTATGTGAGGGCTCGGGTTCGAGACCCGGTGGCGCAATAAATCCTGAGCACTGCGCTTTCAGCTAGCAGTAGCCATATCAGGGCTATGGGATTAAGGGAACGTGTGAGTTGTGGAGCTATACTGTGGCCATCTGGCAGACTTCTGCTTCTGAGCTTTACCCCTACACATGGGTCCTTCTTTGAGTTAAGCGGTCCACCTGCCAGGAGGTCACTTCGCCCGCTCATGGCTGACGACCGCAGCTTGTCCCGCGGGGACGGGGCGCTGTTAGAGTTGGGGATGAAGCGGCGGGGGAGGAAGGGATGGTGGATCGCTGACGAAGAACACATCTCGCGTGGCATTCCCTCGAAAAAAGTCAAGTTAAAGAAAGCCCCGCTGAAAATGTATTATCAGGAGCTACAAATACGGAAGGAGCATAAGCTCGGTGAAAGGCACCGTCCTTTCATGTGCGGCTGGAGCTGTTGGCAGCATGACTTCACACAAGGACTCTGATAATAAACGACTACCGTTTGCTTCCCACAAGATGCCTTCGGAACCAATCAGAACATTGGCGCACATTGGGCAGTAGTTTTGGCTAGGTTTGGAGACAAAAGGCGTGGTTGTTTGGCTGGACGGTCGTGATTTGGAACCAAAGAATAGCTTAACATGGCAAACATTGGGCAGTACCAGGAAAACTTAGCTTCTGAGCATCTAAAGGCTTCGTTCCGGCATTACAGCACACTTTGAAAACCAAAATCTCAAGAGGTCTTTTTCTGGTAACGGCTGGATTCTTCTCGACATTAAAAGCGGCTTATTATTAGTCCCGTTTGAAGTTTTCACACACCTGTTAAAATGAGATTGAGTCCCTCTGTTGGTTTGGCAGTATTACGCCAAACACGAAAATCGAAAGAGTCCCGCACAATTAACCGCTCGCAGACTTTTACAGAATTAAATGCATCGGTTAACTATGTCGGTCTGCCAGAGAATGACCACCCTTTCAGCTGACTGAACTTCATATTGGATTTAAAGCCACGGCTGCAAAATCACCACTCTTCAGCTAACTGAACTTCATGTTGGATTTAAGCTACGGCTGGACGTCATGAAATCGTTGTTAGCGTTCACCATTCACTGCACAAGGAATCGGTAATTTTAGCTAGTGTCAGCAGGTAGAATTGGTAAGAAAGTATAGATCCTGATGGACCAACAGTTCTTGCCAGATTATGCTCAAATTGTCCTAACACAAGCCACATGAGACGAGAATACGTTCGCATCCGAGCGGTGTTTTGGTCTACGCGCATTTCGTACCATTCGATCCGAATTCGGCCACCTTTTGGGGCATGACAGGATCGACCGCAGACTTGACAGATCGCTGCCGTCCGATTGCTTCGAGGTGACAGCGTTTGGTAGCAATGTGCCTCCCTACAGCTATCTTGCTATATGGACACCAAGTATCGCGACTCGGGCAGCATCAGCAGTTGTCCTTTTCAGGTCAAAATAGAGTAGACAAACCATTTGACTTTTTGCTGGTGGGGGGCAATGTCTGGATGGATCAGCGAGGAAAAATGTTTTTGCTTAACAACAAAAAACAGCTTGACAGCACTACCGACAGGACATGCAGAATAATGGAAAATAGTAGAACAACTAACGTATCTTGCACTCGTTTCTCCAAAGCCCCCTCTCGGCGGCTGATATTGATGCGTGTTTATCGGGGACGGTGACATCACAACGCGGGGTGAGCCGTTGACCCGAATCATAACGGCCGGGACAGGGCGGCGTCACGAGAGCATGAGGTGGCGCACCACGTCCCAACGGCACCCGTCAGGGCTGAGTCACGGTGACGCACGGCAGCCACATCACTACAGGCCTGAGTAAAATCACACCACTACGGGCCTCAACAGAGCCGTGCCACCACAGGCCTCAGTAGAGCCACACCGCTACAGCCCTCAGCGAAATTTGCTACGTTAGTGCCTGGCTGAACAGGCGGTCCTCGGTGGGACCTCACCGTGGCGCCGGACGCGGCCTCCTAACTCCACCGGCGCGGCCTGCATCGGTCGCACCGTTTCACTCAGCACTGCAATCAGGTCACCCGGCAATAAGTGGTGACCGAAGCGCTCCGTATGGTTGCAACCACCGGTGACCAGCGGCAACATTGGTAGCAGCTTGAATGAGACACATTGAATGAAAACAACGCATTGAATTAGAGGGGCTTATGGAATATAACTGACGAGTCACGCTGAGATTGCGTGGTGTGAAACGCCACGTTGCTGTTGGGCACGAATTTTCGAGCCCAACAGGCAAAGTTGTATTTGCTTCGTGTATGCAATGAATATTACGCGGAGAACATTTGAGAAGTAACCTTGAGGAAAGCTGAACCTGCCCGTATAGCTGGACAGACTGCGTTTGAAACACACAGTGCGCTGCATTTTCTCGATGCGAACACAAATTATTCGGCAACCTTAACACTGCCTTACCTTTAGAAACACCAACAATCCACCGTGAGGCTGATATCGGAAGCCTCCTATCCCGAATGTGCTTTACTTGCGTCCGACATCGAAAGTGAAGAGGGTAACACACCGAGTGTGGTAATGCTCAACTTCTACGGGCGAAAATATTCCTTAAAATACATTGAGCATATTTCGCACATCGCGCAAACAGCGGTCGAAACTGAGCACGTACCTACGGGACTGTAGACATAACGGCTGAAAATGTCATCTCCAATACAAGTTCCCGAGGCATGAATAAAGCGTTAGCTGGTAGACCGCATATCTAACATTGCGTTTCCTTCCAATAATTGCAAATAACCAATGCAGCTGACACACCCTTAAAACTCAATAACTAACTCAGCGTTTCATTCGCCAACAAGTGTGTATCACAAATACAGGCTTTTCCATTTACATGGGTTTTCGGGAATGCCAATACTGTACCGAAAATCAAACTAGATGTCGTTTCAGTGTTGTAGCTGGTGGCATTGGCCCGATGTGCCACAGCTGCCATGTATTTTTGCTGTTGTGATGTTGATTAAATTTGTCACACACTGCGCACGCACTGTAGTATCGGCCTCTGGCACTTTGACGCTTTGTTGCTGTTTATCGAGTAAGGGAAGGATTCAGTTGAATATTTCAGGAATCTTTCACTGGTTGATTGCGTTATGTCATTGTAGCTCAAACATCTTTTCTTTTTTGCATACTGTGTCGACATTTCAAGCAAATAGGCCGTTCTAAGCTCCGGTTTTGGGGCCCCCCAGTAGAATTTGGCAATAGTGCGAAGGTGGTGATCTCCACGGGGATGCGCATACTTGTTTTGTATGCAGAAGATGGTGATGTTTCCAGCAACTGAAACCAGTAGACCATGGCTTTGATATTAATGTAAAGCAAACATTGATTAGCATAAACGGCTACATGACACAAAAAGGCATGAAGCACCTTACGGACTATTAATGGAGGGATATACCAGATATTCATTGGTATCCAAATGCATATGTATTATATTTTGCTGAGTTGCGTTTTTCCCATCTAAAATCATGACTTAATGTCAGATGAGCAAAAACTGATGAAGCTCAAAACAACGCCAAACATTTTGGTGTGGCCGCCCGTGTTTTGGGCAGTCCTTAGCACGGCAGGCATCGGTTTATTATGTTGTGGAAGCTCGAATGACCATTCTCATGTTCATGGTACATTAAATTTTTGACCTCATACCCGGTATAGGTCATTGAGACCTTTCAGGTTGACCATCTGTTTTCGCGCGGTCATTGCGTGACATCTTGTTTCGGGTGTTGTTGGGGGTTGTTGGGTGTTGACAGTGGGGCTTGAATGATTGGTTATCGCGACATCTTTCCTTTAGTGGCACTCCGCACAGATCCGGAACATTTTCTCTCCTTGATGCGCCATAAATTTCTCTTTTTGGTTCTTAACTTATCAACGCGTGATAATGAACACGGCATTGGAACGTTGAGTATACTCATATCACATCCTCATGATTGACTAGGATTGTCATTTAGCCAGTACCTGCTGATACATTGATGGATGATTATTCTAACATTATTACATTGATTGCCGAAAAACCGAGAACTCCAACACCGTTTTCTTAAATTAAATAAAATCAAGCCACCGCTCTTCGAACATATGCTTCAATTAAGAAATGATAATCACAATCAAGTAACTATTCCTGTTCATTATAGTGATTTATTCATCATGCACTTACATCACAACGTACCAAAAAAAAAAAAACGAAATCTACTGATGGGAAAATTGAAATCGCCTGAGGTCCCTATATCATCACCTTCCACAGAAAGGACCTTGAATGAACGCGGCGATCCAAGTTCCTTTCGTGCCGTCTATAAAAGCGATCATATGTGAAAATGATGAGGCAAGGCTTTGCAGCATTGTCAGTGCATGCTTACTCTTTCGGACGGTGCAATTATCAACACAGACACCATACGTCAGCATGACGTTTAAACGAGCGCGACAAGCCACCAGTTTTCTTTCTTCCATGTCACAACCATCACGCATGTTACGCATCAGCCTCACCGCTGTCACACGCCGGCACATGTGTGCTGTCTGGCACACATTTCACTCACAATACTCATCCCTACATGGGCGCAGCGAACTCACTGTGTTAACCTTTCCACCCGTACCCCCTTTGCCGCCAGCCGCCAAGATCCTGGACTCCACCCTTCCCGGCATTTTCTGACCTCACCCCTTCCCTTGATGCTTAAATCATAAGTTGCCCTTTTCAACAACCACGTTACCATTTACCTTTTAAAACCACCTTTTTAACTATCAACAGGACCACCACCTTTGTTCCGAATGTTTGCCACCCTTCCTCATGAGACCATCCCATTTTTACCATGCATTTTTTATCATTTTTTTCAGTTTCCACCAAACATTTCTTATTAATTCTTTTCCATGGCACCAGTTTCACAACGTGATAAGAACTGCAAAAGGAATCGGCAGCCACCTAACACACGCCCGGGTGGCTGGTTAAATACCCTTCGCTCGGGTGGAATGTCAATTTGACCTCCCGAGATCTCACGAACTGTGATAGCTATAGACAACAGACTGGCAGCTGTGGATTGACCTGTACGTGAACTCACTTGACTGAATATTTATTCTCCTAGGTCATGGCTTTGAGGTCAAATAAGACCAAACAAGATCAAACTCAAGATGGATCTCTAAAGTGCCCCCAGACCCCCTCATGCAACCGTCGTGAAGCTAGAGACCTGTTCCAAGCAAAAGGACAATGTGGTCAGTGAACTTGTTTGACCTTAATAAGGTCAACGTGACCAGAGACCTACAAGATTGCTCCTGTTTTGCTATTCAAAGAAGCGTTAGAGGTTACGCGAGATGGTGCGTTCCGCAAAACATGTAATTGCCCTGGGCTATTTTAGGTAATATAACTATTCTGACCTTGAAAAAACTCAGTGGAAAATGTCTGTTGCTGTCCCTGTCATCAATAAATTCGAAATAAGCACCAACAACTGTCTCATAAGATCAAGCTCTCGAATAAAAAAGCAGATTAGGTTTGACCTCGCTTTGTCCTTTATACCTGACCCTGGACTAATCGCATTGGCTTTAATTCTCAATTCAATTGGTTTATTGCCTTAGAAACTATCTCAGATGGGAATGGTTTCGTCTCACACTCCGTTGTTGCATAACATTGAGCAATTCCCTAGAAATGCTCTTCGCTGACAGCCATGACCTGACTTTGACGAGGAATACGTCAGCGAGCTTATAATAAACATCCAATTTTTACATTAAAAGATCCGCTGTCTAATTCTATACAGCTCTTCAAATCTTGGAGCGGCTACGCCGCGCCGTTTGGAAATTAGTTGGAAAAAAACCTTCGGGGATCAAGATGATCCCTGCCCTAGTGCGTATTAACGTATTCATGTATTACAGGAAACCCATACCATCAAATTGTTAGTCCTAACCTTATTGTCGTATTTGGAAATGAAAATAACTGAATTAACCGCTCTTATTGACATCGGTATTCCCCCAAAAACGTTACTTTAACGTTTAATAAATGAAAAGCAAAACGCTCTACAGGTGTTTTGCCATCATCATTTCTGTAAAGACCAAAGTGTCGGTCAGAATTCTCGAAAGCGTTTCAACGAGTTCATATGTATGTAAGCTAATCACGGTCAGGTGACTATGAAACAGGTGCATACGAAATATCTAATTAGAATGCATCTGTATGCAATCGTGAAATGCAACGGTTGAACTCTCGTCAAGGAACAACGCTTGTGGCAATTTTGGCAATGTTGCAATTTCGTTCCTATCGGCCGAACTCTCGAAACGATAAAGTGCCGTTTTCATGGGCGTTTTTTTTTGTTAGTTAGTTAGTTAGTTTTGTTAGTGTATGAGAAGTTTTAAGTTAACGATATGATGGGTTTGGTGGCATTTATATATCATTATTAGGATCTGACATGATCCGACCTAGACCTCAAAGAACTCAAGTTTTTCAGAACAACAAGACAAAACAAAAAGATCCAACACACATACCGTTGTGTTGCCTTGAGCACACACGGAAGTAACAACTCGAAGTGGAGAGAGCTTTAACTACTTCGTTGAAATCCAGAGGGCCAAATTGCGTGAAAGATCAAACGACTGAAGATGTCGTGAGGTGAGGTGCCCAACATTGTGTTATGATGTGCTGAACGGTTCAGTTGGCCGGAGATCAGAGATAAGAAGAACCGGACCCGGGCTGCACCAACTATTTTCATCGCCGTTTGCACTCGCCCCATCGGAGACCCACCTTATTCGCCAAACCCTCATCTTATTCTTCCTGGCTAATACTGAAATTTATCCATGTCAGCTTCCTACAAAGTACAATACAACCCGCATGCATTATCAACGTGGGCAGAGGACAGCTTGGTAACACGCGTACTCTGTTTTGCGCAGTTGATTTTATGAGCGTAGCAAAGCCTCAGTGCGTTGCTCTGGGCTTAGATGTAGCTTCTAAATGCCTTATTTTTTGCCTACGCACGCAGAGGAGCTGCCGATTCTACGCCCCGCCCTAGCTTGGAGGGCGCCACCAATCAAAGTTTCGTACCTCCGCCAAGGTCTGGTGGGCGCGTGGGACGACACTGCTGGCTGGAGTTAATGACCCTGGGAGGGCCGCCGGCCATGGGCTCCGGTATATAAGCCAGCCTCGCGCTGTTACGGCAGGAACCAGCACACGGCACCGCAGACCCAGGTGAGATGGGGCACGGCCCAGCCCGGGCAGGGGGTGCCACATTGCTTGCTACACGCCAGCGGTAGTTTTCTATGATATTTTTTTTCTGAGGCTGAATGACGTAGCGTGGTAGTGTTTACCTGAAAGATATGAGAGTAAAGCTGTGTCTGTGTATAACCGTTACTGCAACTCTTCTTTTATTTGCAACCAAGAAACTGGCGAAATGCATTTGGGTGGGTAACAGGTGGGTACAAAGGATCTGGAATGAGTAGCGGTCGGGTATGGGCACATTCTCTTGGATAACGGGTAGATTGGGTGAAGGAAATCTTACCCGATATGGTTTCTACTTTCGGTCTCGCCATGGGAAACGAGCAAGCGGTGGTAATACGTCCATAGTAATGGCGCTTTAGTCCAGTGATGTTACGGATGAAGATTCACGAATTTCATAACACTGCCGAAGCTAAACATGGCTGTATTTTTATCATCAGAATTTGCCTGTTTTCTGAAACTGTTTTCTATATTTCCCTGCCAATAATACGGAAAACAAAATAAGCCTTCTTCTGACATGAGCAAAATCGACTCCAGGGAAGGTGCTTCTTCTGTCTCGGTCCCCATCATGGTTGGTAAATTTATGTTATCAAGTAATACGACGATTCCATGGGAGCGCAATGACATACAAGATTTTTGCGTTACATCATCCTCTGCGTGTGGATTCTTTCAGAACGATGAAGCTTCAACTTCTGTTGGTGGCGGCCTGCCTGTGTGCGGTCTCGGATGCTTGGATTCCCAAGAAACTCCTCAAGAAGTATGCCATGAAAAAGGTGAGGCGCATTGAATATGGTCAGACAAGTGCATACAGACATGCGAAGATGCCAACGCCTGACTTTACAGCGGTATGCTAATTGTATGATCGCCGCATTCAGCATGTTCGCAAGTATCACATCAGTGACACCAGTGCATCTACAGTGTCATTCTGTGCATGTCGTGAATACGTCTCTTTCTCCGTAGTGAGATACCGCTATGCTACGCATGCGAGGAAACTGAACCTCACGTATATCATGTCAGGGTTTGGCAGTATCAGCCGCGCCTGGGCCATGGAGTCTGACCTGAGACCGGCGCCGACAGATCATGGGCAGCTGCTACGGTGAGGAGCTGATGGCCGAAGTCAAGCGCGAGATCAAGGCCGCGTGCGACAAGTGCCACGGTGAGGCAGGACCCGAGCTGCCGCAGCTGCGTAGCCAGCTGGCCTCCATGTTTGGTGCTGCGAACGTGGCCCAACCCGTCGCCTACCAGCATGCCGTGCAGTACGTGCCCGTGCCGGCGCCCGTCCGCTTCCAGCCGGTGAGTAAAGCCGTGGTGAAGGCGGGAAGGCTCGTTTTTGGACCATAGGTAGCACTGTCATTCGGCCGTTAAGTGCCGACATTGCCGGCTTTTGGACGCTGCGTGGCTGTGTGACTCGGGCCATCCATTGCGTTGTGTTCTAGCTTTCAGTGCGGGTTGGTCCTTAAGCAAGCTTTGCAAGTGTAGAGCACCTACGCTCGCGGTTATGAAACATTCGTGCTACCTGGAAATGCCTCATTAAAAAACCGTAGGCCCGTGGTACTGGCACACACGGGTCAGTACTATGGACGTAAATGGCGCGAGGAACGCTTTGCGCGAGTCCAGACCGTGCCTGTTCGTGGCGGGCAGGTATCGTACCAGTACCAGCGCCGCTGGAAGAGGAGCCACCACGGATCCATCACTCCGGAAAAGCTGGAGATGATGCGCGTGAAGGCCTCCTCCATGGTCGGCAACATCACCTGCGTCATGAGGGAGATGAAGATGGTGAGGAGAGGCGGACAAGCCGCATTGAAGCTCGGCTCGGAGTCTCATAAAATAGATGGCCATGCAATATGCCATGTCATGCCTTTGGTCTGGCATGGCATGCCTTGATGTATGTAATATGGCTTTGCGATGCAATATGTGCCAATTTCACATGCACAGCCGTTGATTTCATATATCAACTCTATGGAATGACCCTGATCCCTCCCGCCGTCCCTTAAGAGTGCATTGCTTTCGCCGCTAGATCCTGCCTTGGCATTACCCACCCGTTGGGGAGCCAAATGCTGCTCCTGTACGGCAGTTTGCCCACATACTTTATTATCCGGCTACCCTCTGAAGAGGTATTCGATTGCCCGCGTGGTCGGCCTGGAGCGTGAAACTCATGCCCCTCTTAAGCGCACGCAGGCACAGCCCGCTCGTCTCCACCTGGCGTCAAATTTCTGAGGGGGTTTTCCGTGTAAGTACGGACATTGGCGACATCTCTAGGATGCTTAGTGTACTACAAAAATTGATTCGCAGCTATCGAAATAGTAACAGCCCGATGTGTTTGTCAGTTGTTGTTTGGCAGGCATCGTAGATCATTCAGCAGGTCTGGTCGCTTTCTTTTCGACTTTTATGCATGCAATAAGGTAAAAGAATGTTACAATCGCAACTTTCTAAAGACCGAAAGAGAAATTTAGAACCAACAAAATCATGCCCCCGTCCAAATCAAGCTACAATCTGCGCGCTGCGAATTGGTAAGCTAAATGGTAAACGCGATATTATGAGTTATCTAAAACGTTTTTAGTAGCTATTATGCAATACTTTGCGACCTGCAGCAGACAATGAACTGAAATTTCATTTGGCAACAGGGGCGTAGTCATCTCTACGCCCAGTCTAAATTTTGCCCTGGTTCGGTGTTTTTTTCATGACTTATTCCACATAGCATACATTCCATTTGCTTTACGTTAGCGAAGCACCCGTCACCCCGGCCAAGGACCTTGTAAGTCATTAAACGTTACGTAATAACAGACTGCCACAATTTAGCCCTTGCTGTTGTGAGAACTGCATGCTATTTAACACTAATACAACAGCGGCACCTGTTTGAAAACCATCCACCTGAAATATACAGTTTGGAATAGTACACTAAGGGCTCAGCTGGGAACATGCCTTAACTGGTTTATGCGTCTGAATGCCGGTATGACTTCGTTAGTTGCTCGCCCGCAATTTTGGGCTGAAAGCGAACGGGTCCCCCGCTACCTTTGTCATAAACCGGCTGGCTATGATAGTCGGTCGTGTTGTGACCATAAACAACACACATTTCTTCTGTCGCGCAGCTGGACAGCAACAACCAGGTGGACTTCGTGTCCATCGAGAAGCGCATCATGGCGCTGCCGGTGTCCAAGGAGCTGATGGATGACTTGAAGGAAGGCATGGAGCGTTGCCGTGACTTCGCCGCCTGCATGCCCAGCCAGGTCTTCGAGAAGTCTCCCATTCTGGCCGGCTTCGGCAAACAGATGGCTTTCTTCAAGTGCTTCAAGGTGGGTGGCTGACCCCGGGCAGCTGGGCAGTGATCGCTGGCTGTTTGGTAAGAATTGAGGTCCAAAGGTCTTCACCTCGTGTGTTTTTGCAGATACCTTTTTCATAGTTCTAGGCATTTAAGTTTAAGGAATTTTTGACGCACTTAACCGAGTTTTAGCCACAAGCGGGGCACTTATGATCGCGCTTGAATTTGCTCTATGCATTAGCACATCAAGCATGCTATGTTTCAATCCGTGACAATGTAGTCAATGCTAGCGGCAACCTCATAAGCGCACAAGATCATTTTGAATCTGTTATTATGCATTAGTATTTTTACTGGTATTTTTTGTTTGTATCATTATACCTGACCGCAACTCTGGCATCGGTGGATTTCAGATGGCGAAGGTCGAGTCGTGCATGAAGCAGGACTTCCGCGAGGACTACTACCCGATGCTTCTGCGCAGCGGACTGGACATGGGCGAGGACGAGAGCTTCCAGACCATCGTCACTTCCATGCTGCTGGAGGAGGCCACAAACATGTAAACGCCTCCAGGAGAGCGGGCTCAGCCCAGCACGATAGGCGTTTACACTTGGAGGACCTACCGCCTTGCTGTGGTAGAGACACTGGCTGGCTGTTTTGTGGCGTTTGTTTTGGCCCTTCGGTGTCATTTTCCTAGATGGATTTCTCGGTTCGGTCCGTGTCCTATATGATCTAGACGAATACAGCTGTCAAAATCTACCTGCAGTTTTGCTCGATGGTGGAGACCGACTCCGTGGGGCATAGCTATGATGGAAACGCTCGAGATGAAAACTAAACTGCACGAGGCATGCTTCATAGCATGCCTCAACTCTTGCCCTAATACGGGGTCGATGTGACCCCATCCCAGGGTTTTCTGAGGATATTACGTGGGCATATCATGTACCGCGATCAAATTTTTGGCGGTTTAAGGGGAACTTATTACACATGTTTTGACACCAAAAGCGTATCTCTGCCCTTCCTGGTTTCCGATTGGTGACGGTTTTTGAGCAGCACCAGCAATACGCGGCCGGCGCAGGCGGCAGGCAGCAACTGACGAATCCTTACTGTCTGCATACACGCACATTAACGGGGCCGCACGTATAAATATATGATTATAACATGATGATGTTATGATCATGATGATCATGATGCATAACGATTCGTTTGGTATGAAACGAGAAGTATGCAAGTGTAAGCTTCACGTAGCTGCATGGCATGGTTTCGTAAAGATGAGCACGCAAACATGGAAACGTGCGATTGTCGGAAAAAAACTGACCTCTTACTTGGCATATTTGGGTCAGCTGTTGACCTAAAAGCAACGCATTTGTAACAATCGCGGGATCTCTTTAAGACTAATCGCCTAGTCTTTTCCGTAAAGGCTTATCGTAACCAGTTAAGAAACAGCAGGTGGGGAGGGAGTCATATCGACCCTGCGGTAATTCTGGCTCTGGAAAACGGCGAATCAGGGCGAGCGCTCAGTGTATATATATATATATATATATATATATATATATATATATATATATATATATATATATAAACATATATATAATAATATTATAATAACAATATATATATAATAGATGTATACATAATGATTTAATGGGCAAAACCTGAAAAAGAAGTCAAGGCTGAGATAAAAGGTTTTGCAATGAAGAGAGACAAGGTCCAAATTCTAGAGTCCAAACAAATAGTGCATCATTTACTCAGTGGAAATATGAGGACATTATACCGATCATAAAGGACCACCAATACACCAGCAGACAATGATTAAACTGCATTTATCAAATACGTCGGGTTTTGTCAAAACCCGACGTCTCAAGCTGTGATCCTGGCTAAGAGCGCATTCAAATTATTAAATAGAGACAACAATGAAGCTCGTGCTTTACCTGCACTCTGCGCAGCGCACACCCCATACATTTCAACAGCAGAGACAGGGTTGCCGAACTACAACTACTCAAATTCGTGTCATGTTCTGAGCATCGATAGCTGAACAGAACACGCTCACGCACAGACCGCTCAACTGAAAGTGTTCGGTAAAACCTGCAATTAGGTGTGGAGCCGTTTAGGGGCAAATCGCATCATGCTGCGCAGCGAGCCGGACGACCGCTCACGTTAACATCAAGCACAGATACCCATTCCCAAACCACCACCATCATAACAAAGCCGACATCGGGGATGCAATTTTCGAAAACGTCCCAGCTGTCTTGGACTTGCCGTGGTCTGCAATCACAAGGTAATGCGGAGGATCGGTTCCGCAATACTCGATCAGCGCAGGACCATCGCCGTCGCCCGCAGGGCATGGCGTGCATGTAAAAGCTTCCAGTTTCTGAGCGTGTTTGCCAGTGCCGACGCTGCCGTCATTGCGCAGCGGCGTCATTCGCGGTGATCCATAATTGATTGCGATAAACCAGCCCGCACTGGCGCCTGTTTGTTCAATCTGCATCGCAATTTTCCGGGATGGGGAGGGCGCGGACCCGGGCGGCGCCACACCCTTAAAGGCAGGCCATCTTCACCGCGGGCAGCAGTGAACTGACGTCCGCGGCGGAGGGCGCGCAGGGCGACGCCGCTGTAGCAGAGAGCCGCACCGGACGCAGGACGCTGGCGCGCCGCGGTCGGTCGGTCAGCGCAGCCCGTCAGCTGTCGAGACCGCCGGTCCAGCTGTCCGGCTGCCCTAACCGGCGGCTGACGGCAGGACGCGCAGCCACCCAGCAGGACGCTCCGTCCTGGCTGGGGCGGAGCTAACCAGGCCACTCAGCCTGGCTGTCGTCTGTAGCGGTCTGCCAGCGGTCCTGTACGTCGCTGGAGCGGCGGTCCCTGAGCGCACCTCGTCCGTCGGCCACAGTCAGCGAGCGTCCTGAAGTGTTCAGGCGCGGACGAGTCTCCGGAACAGTTTCCGATTCCCCGCAGTTTCACAGTTCGTCGGCACCTTCCGTCCAGTTCCGTTGCAATGTGCGGTTGTGCGACCCCCGCGTTCGGCGGCGCGGCCGTCAGGGCGGCGCCGGCCCTGCTGTCCATCCTGATGCTGCTTTCCGGCTGCGGCCCGGCCGGCGCCGTCGTCAGCCGCTCCCGGTTCGTCGCGGCCTGGCTGCATAGCCACCGGCGGCTGGGGGGCGCCGCACTACCCAGCCCGCTGCTCTGCACCACCCTCTGCCTGAGGCGCCAGGGGTGCGTGGCAGCCACCTTCGCTGAGGGGCAGGACTGCGCTCTGTACCGAGCGGCGCCGGAGCTGTCCGAGCTCATCTCGCCCCCTCTCGGCCTGGCTCTTGTGAGCACCACCATCATTGAACCGACGACGACCGAAGCACCCACCACAACCACTGCGCCGGCTGCGGCGGCCATTCAGATACAATGTGATATCGGAAACTGGAGGAGCAATCGAGGCAATTGTTACTATTTCTCCACCGAAAAGTCGATGCCTGACCGCGTGGACAATGAATGCCGATCTTTGCACCCGCTCGCGCGTATCACGTCCGTTCTCAGCAACAGGGAGAACTCCTTCATCACGGGGCAAATCGAAGACAAGATCATCATCGGACTGGAGCGCGACTCCAGCGCCACGACCGACTGGCACTGGACGGATGGCTCCCCTCGCGGCAGCTTTGAGAACTACCTTAAAGACGAGCCGAAGAACGACGACCCCTGCCGGCTGTACACCCACATGCTGGAGACGGGGGTGTGGGTGTCGGCCGCCGCAGGAGACGACACCTTCTTCGTCTGCAAGGTCTCAGGCGCGGAGGAAGAAGACTAGTAGCCACACAGGGCTAACGCAAGTGCAAAAGGCAGCACCGCCAAGCCGCTGCAGGCAATCCCCTTTCGCACCGGAGTATTCCGCACCAGTGGACAGCGCGCATAGAAGCGTCGCGAACCACTGGACAGCGCGTATAGAAGCGTCGCGAACCAGTGGACAGCGCGCATAGGAGCGTCGCGAACCACTGGACAGCGCGCATAGGAGCGTCGCGAACCACTGGACAGCGCGTAGTACATCTGCGTTACAACAGTGATTCGCGCTTCAGCCGCACCCCAGCCGTGGCCAGCCAGTCACACCTCGCCGGCAGCTGAAACGCCTTGGCCCAACTCGGGGTGGGTCAAGGCGACGACCACGCTGGAAGATCGCTGGCAATAATTTGTGGCAGGCCGCGATGATGTATCTTACAACGGTCCCCATTGAAGGGTACCGTTAGACGTGGCTCTCTATGTGATGTCTGCCAGCACCACCTGCAAATTTGGTCGGGTCGAAACAGCCGCCGGCTGGTTGTAGTAGAACGCACCTCTACCGGGCGAGCAATTACTTCGTAGTGATGTGGTGGACATTCTTTTCGGTGTTCCCGGTCTCTTGGAGGACATTTTGCGGATACATCTACCCGACATATCTAGGGCATCAAACCTTCTCACTGAAGAGGGAGGGGGGGGGGGGAGGCGATAGCTATTCGCCCAATAATCTTTCGGGAATAGCTGAAGAACAGCTTACGCTAGGCTCCTGGCATTTTTGCGTACCTTCTCTTGCATCAATACACGTGCATTCTGAATTTGTTTGCCCGGGTCATGTCATGTGGTGACCTAGGACAATCGCAGTCTAAGCATGTCGAAACAAAATGTGGATGAAATTGGTGCATTGCGGCAATGGGTTGCAATGCGGTCTTCCTGTGGTCCTCACAGTTTGTTCGTCAATTGTAGACTGTTAACACACGCCCGGATGGCCGGCTAGATATCCTTCGCTCGGGTGGAGGTGGGGGTCAATTTGAGCCCACACTGAGATTTCGGGAACTAAGAAAGCTAGAAATACCAAATTTATCGGGTGTCTCGACCTGTACGTGAGCTCACTTAGGTCAAAGTTTAAGCTTCCTAGGTCATAAACTTCAGGTCAAATAAGCTCAAACACGGTGAAATTCCAGATTGGTCTCGAAAGTGCCCCCAGTATCTAGCCAACTATTTCAAAGCAAAAGGTCACAAATCCATTTGAGGTCAAAGACCTTGTTTGACTTTTTGAGGGTCGTGGTGACCAAAATCATACGAGACTGCCCTGAATTTTGCATTTGAATAAGCGACAAAGATTACGCTAGGCAGTATGTTCCTAAAACAAAGTGTCGGCCCCGGTCATCTTAGGTCAATGACCTGCTCTGACCTCGAAGAAGTCAATGGAAGATGTATAATGTGGTTCCTGCTGTCATACTATTCAAAATGAGCACCACAAACTATCCCATACAGCAAGCCCTAAAGTAATAAATCAGGTTCGTTTTTGACCTTCGTCTGACCTTCATACCTGGATCTTAGGTCAACATAATTTGCTTATTCAATATCTGTGGTGCCTAAGAAAGCATCTCAGAGATGTATGGCTTCGTCAAACACTCCATTATTGTATCACATCGGACGATTCCCTAGAAATTGCCTTCGCTGAAACTATAGCCTGACTTTTGACCTGCCATGGGTCAGCGACCTTACAAGGTACATCTAAGTTTTTCGTGTCAACCCATCCGCTATTCAATTGTCTACAGCCATGCATTTGGCGCGGCTACACTGCGCCGTTCGGAAACCATTCTGGAAAAGCCTTGGGGGGGGGGGGGGTCAAGTTGACCCCCACCCGGGCGCGTGTTAATCTCACTGTGACCTTCTATGGAGTTCTGATGTCATGCAGAGGTCTTCATAGGTCACTGACTCAACTTGACTTTAAGATCAAGGCCGTGGCAACATCCTCTCTAGTAGCGTAATGTGTCGGTTTT